ATATATATATATATATATATATATATATATATATATATATGCATTGATTCTTCAATGGACTAGCTTTGAAAGAGCTGTCTATCCAATGGTCACCGGGTGTTGCAAACAAGGTGATTATGACGAATGTACACTTCCTGGGTACATGTATATGAATGAACTGACAAAAGACTCCCGGATACGCATACCTGACGAGCGGAAAGAACCGCGAAACCGGTCGTGTGCTTTCAGGTAAATTTTTCCAGTCCATCACATACTACTTATTATGAAATATATATATATATTCCAGATGACGAACGAAGACCCAGGTATATCTCTTGTCCCAAACAATCTGATGCTGTTGAGATCACATCCTGCATTGTTCATCCATCAAAGGACTACAGAATATTATTCCACCTGTCAGAACCGAAAAGAATATTTGGCTAGTGCCTTATGGAAACGCTAGACTCTTATGTAACTAAGCACATGGCAGGCTCGACATAAGTGGACACTTCAGACTGGTGATATATTGCTGCTTACGAACAAAGAGTTACGACCCACCGAGCGGCTAGTCTCAATGTCTTGCTTAATTTGTTCTGGTATGGTAATAACGCTGACATGATACTGATTATTATTGATCGAACTTTAAATGTGATAATCAATTTCAGTGATTCATCGGCTATTACATGTACGATACTTTTCCTTGTAAAAGTTAGTCTTATTGAAGCTTTGGTAACTGCTCCTTCGGGGCTTAGTTTATCAGTTACCACGACATTCCTCAATTTCACAGGACCCTTGTAGCATTCAGTGGGCAACTGCACGCCTACTCATGCATGCCAAATCCGGGACATTGTGATCTATAGAAAACAACCACTTGGCATGCATGAGCATCGTGTACAGGGGTTTCATGCATTGTCTTCTTTTTTAACGTGTCCCTATATCCCGGTCTGCTTAGCCCACATTGATTGATACAACACGAAATACTCGCTGCTGCATGTCAACTGCTTGAGGTAAAATTATGGGATGCCCCGTGTTGTTTAGAGTACGACTACTGGACTTTTCACTGATGGCTCTTATAATTTGTTTCGATTTCCTCTAGCTCTGAGTCAGTTTTTGTCGTTGACAGTCATTCGAAACAACACCAAACGGTTATTGTTTACTTTACAATAACCCCAGCTGTTTTGTGCTCGCAAATATCAATCCCGTTTATTCCGTTGCTGTAGCGTTCACGCTCACGAAGCCAAGATATTTCTGACTCAATGATTTACTTTGCACGTAGTAAAAATACGCAAGCGCAATTGACCGACACAATGTCTGACTCATTGGGCCTTGTATCCGTCGTGGTCGTGTGAAGGCAGATCGTTCATGAGCAATTCCATCGAACTGTTCGCTCTCCAGCTCTCATTTCGCTATATCTGTGCTGTGTTCTCCAGTTGTCAAATTTACGGTCTTTGTGTTGGAGGTTGGTCGGTTGTTATTGTCGTCGTCACCGTTTTAGGTGTGGTGCCAGCACTGTATGTATGTGTGTGTACATCTAAGTGTTTGCTTGCACACGTTTTTTTCCTGTCGCCGACCTAGACAGCCGTGCCGCTGCCGTTCGGAATCTGTCGGATGGAACCGCCGTTGGTTGATGGGTCGACGGCGATTGTTTGCTTCGCCGGCCAGCCGGCCGGTCAGTCAGACGATTGACCGGTTCGCCATTTGCCTTTGACTGTCTATTTCTTCCTCTCCACCCTATGTAACTCTTTCCATTCACGTGCAGTCTGACTAGTGCGAACAAAGCGGCACAGACAGTGATCATGTGCATATATTTAGCACTCTGGCGAGTTGTCAAAAGGTTATAGTGGCCAGAACGAAATTGGACAACCATTTCTTATTTGCCATCGGTAAATACTGACATTGGCTTTTTAGCCAATATACGCGTATATAGGCTATTCCTGTTATGCAAATTTCATTCTTATACATCAATCATGTTCTACTTGTTTATTAGGTTTCAATTAATCGTCATTTGTCTGATCCACTTCCTCTCTCTCGCACACATACTGATTTGGTCATTTCAAGGTGGATGAGAAGAATGCAGTGGATACAAATTGTTCTGTCTCGGGGAACGATCCAATGGATGAACTTTCATACGTGCCCAACTCCGATTCACATACAATCAACCCACCTGTGACTGAATGTGATGCGGCTCAGCTAAATGCACACTCTTCGACCAATCTTCCTGATGCATGTAATTCTAAATCTGGAACATACGAGTGGGCCACACGGATACTGGATCCTCTACTAGTACTCCCCGTCGAAGACGAAGATGCACAGGGAATTCTAGATGAACATTGCTCTCGCATCTGGGCAGATGAACAAGATTATGCGTTAATGCCCGAAGCCAGTGGGGAGTTTGCGAAGCAGGTGGGTGATCTAGACTACGTTGTGCGAGAGTCGCATGGTCCTGGTGCCGATCCAACCCTTCGACAATCCCGTGGTGCTTTCTCTGGCAATCCGCGAGACCGTGCAAGCGGACGACGTCGCACAGCTCTCTCTGCCGCTCTCACTTCGTCGTACCATGCGGAACCGGATGCTTCAGATCCCGTCCAGAGAGGTTCCCGTCGGCGAAGTGCCGTCCGTGTGCACAATCGATCTGATGCTCGATCTACCGCTTCTTGGGATAGTGGCGTGGTTACTCACTGTCCTTATCCGGTCGACCCTTCGTTCCCTAATAATACACTAATTCAGGGCGAATTGGAGACTCGATCAATCGTGGCTGCCGCTAGTTTACAAGCCTTGTCATCTTCAACCACAGAATTGGCCATGGTCAATAGTGAGGTTACCACAAAGTTGGTAGAACATATGACCCGTCACTACCGTCGGAACGCAGATCCTGGCCTAGTTGTACCGCCTACAAGCAGTCACCCGTTCGCACCAAAAATGTCTCCCTATCAGAACTACGATTTGTTATGTTCACCTCCACTCATGTGTCGTTCTGCGTACCATCACCACTATCCTCGTCCTATTCCAGGAGTAGACCCCATAACGGAAAAAGCAACATTTTTAGGTGCATCAGCAATACAAGGAGTGGACGCTGTCGGATATTGTGTATCTTGCGTCCAAAATGCGTGGCGACCGTGTAATGCGCATCGTCAGGTCCAGACTCAGTCCTTTGGACCCGTATGGTCAATCGCGGAAACTGACAAAGTATTAAACAAAGCTGTTCCTACTGCTGATACTGGGATTGCTGGCCGTGCCTCTACTCAGAGTCACAGTTTTCCTGCCGCGTCGGACACATCAAGCACGTTTGATTCGGGCATTTCGTCTACGTACGATCAGTTGCCTCTAACGACGGATCGTGGAAGCCGTAGCCAGTAAGGATTGCCATACTTGTATTCGATTTCTTGACTAATCCATTTTAAGATTTAAAATTATTTAATCACAAGGTTAACGAGCAGCGAAAGTCGTTAGTCATTTAAATTTTTGATTTTTGTGTTGCCAGTAGTTTGTTTTTCATACAACGAGAAAGTACTGGGATGTCAAGCGGCTGCGCCAGAAAACTGCCGGTGTTAGATAAACTAGCTCTCTACGCCTGGTGAACTTTGAGGTCCTTTCGGATTTAGTCTCCAATGAATGAGATTATGCGGCAAGTTGTTTTGTCTGAGGTGTTAGATCATGAATAGAAAGAGCACCACTGGTCGCGATATCTGATATGACCGGCGTGTGTTCTCTCTCTCACCTTGCATTCGCTGCTGCGTTCAAGAGGAATGCCGCCAGTTTGTTGATAAGCATACTAACTAGGGGATATGAGGAGTAAATGATTCCGTTCTGTCTAATCTTCAGAACAAGATGGAAAACATATAAAACCCGAGAATATCGTGGATTCGCTATCGTGATGCATGCACATGCTTGTTTTTGTCCCGCGTCGTAAGCCGTTCCCAGAGGAATAAAGTACGGAAGCTATAGCTATCAAAAGCTCAGGTAAAATGCAGTGTTCCGTCATACTTCACCTTATCTGAGCAATCGGGTCACAAACAGTACAGTGTGTGCAATTTATCTGGATACCTAAAAGCTTCAAGAAGACTATCTTGGTAATTGAAAAATGTAGAAAAATAGCAGGTATTCCTTGTGATGAAAATGGCCGAATCCTCATTCTTGTCCACTACATTAATGTGTAGCGTAGCATTCCAATAACACCTTAGCCTACGCATAATTATCTGTCATTAGCAATTGGTGTTTTTTTGCGCTCGCGGTAGTGAGTTTCTGTTTATTCTTCAACCTCGTGGACCTGCATTGAAATCCAGCTGATGTGGTTGCTGGCTATTGAAATATCTATAATACCTGGCACTGGGTTTTTGTTATGGTGAAGGTGGTAACTGGTTATGTGAGATTGCTTAACGCTTTTCCTTGTCTGAGCTGTTGTAGTTGCCAGTATAAATGTCACTTTTTAATCTTTAACTTACTTTGCCGAGCAGCTGACGGCCGAATCCAACTGCCAAAACTCATAAAAAAATTTAGTTTATGTTATCCAAACGAGTTCACCTCCTAAGCTCCCCAGGGAAGAAGGTTTGGCATATCATGCTTCCTAACTAATCACACGCATACCCAGTCCATTAAAAAAATCCTTGGTTTCATCAACTAATTACTTTCGAGGTCATTGCTTCCTGTAAATCCCTAGCTGCGCCATACTTTCTCTTTGCAGAATGTAACAAAATTAGATTGCACAGATTCGGCCAGCTGCATTTTCAAGCAGCAAAGGAACTTTGATCGACCATATGAATAGTGCCAACAAAGTCATCGAGTTCAGCAAATTATTCGCAGTCTATCTAACTATTTTGGTCGAAGTACACAATTCCTTTCAGAATAGAACTTCCATTTTGTATTACTGCTTCTCATCGATCTTCATCTTTGCGTTTCTGTTTCCTTTTGTTAGAAGTCTTCGAAACTGGCATGCCTCATTTCGTGACCATTCGTCTGGACCGCATTTTGCATCACGTCCGCTTCGCGCCCCATCCGCGCCTCGATCTCAGTTCAGCAATGCACAACACTGTTGTCCATCCGGGGTCTGCACTCACCTATACACCCATTCCAATCCGGCTGGGACAGGTTGCACACAATCACGTAACAACTACTATCTCTCCGCTACGGCAGATGAGTCCGGATCGAAACAATGTCACACATTGACCAACTATACCTGTTCCAATTCTTGCTCAGTGATGGACTGTTGCGATTGCAAGCGCAATTTGGCCTACGATCTCAGTCATCCATCAGGTACAGGAAAAGTCCATCAGTACATCATTTCACTTCTGTTCCATCACTCGTATTTTGTCTGGTTGCATCTCACAAGGCTGTGAATTTGCTTACGATCTCATGGCATTTTTATTTTCACATACGTCTTAATCCAGACTGTATGCCAAACAAATCATGTTACAATAATCTTTATGAAAAAGAAAAACGTTCCATGATTTGCATGTGGGCGGAATACTGCCAGGTTGATCAGGCCAGTGCAGGTGAATTTTATTAAGGAATCTACAACCGGAGCCTTTGGCTAGCCAAGGCCTATCCCGCAAGGCAGCGAGGCGGTGTGTGAGAACCGCAATCCATTGGGGGCCGGCGTCCAGTTCATCGGATCATGCGCCCTTTGGACGGTCAGACGTCCAAGGTGCCCAATCGAGCCGGTGACCACTACCACAACCAGGAAGATGTAAATCTGTGGTTTATACGCCTCCTCATGGTTGGTTTGGAGGCAGGGTTTTTGACCAACTCCCCTAGGTGAACTACCAGTGGTCCACCAGCCCAGATTTCGACTTTTCATCCTCCCACTTTGGTAGGAAACACCGCCGCCACGAGAAGGCAGTGAGTAGGGCTTCCTCAGCAGAGACGTTTCGAGACGCTTGTTCGTATAAGAGCATTTCGCGGGTTGCTAGGGTGGGATGACCAGCCGCACCTCTAGACACCCACCTCCAACCATACTTTTGGAGGCCTCTCATGGCATGAATCAACAATACCGGTTTCTTCGACAGATCAGTTCCGGTTGCAATGTGTGTGTTAAGTCGACCTCGGACAGTTTATACCAAAGTAATTCGTATTTTTTCACGAGTCAGTGACGATTGTTTAAGAGCCTTTGGCGCTTGTTGCCGCTACCTACTGACCGTTTGCACAGCCAGTGGTGTAAAATTATCCCCATTTACACACATATTGCGTCAAATCGTAAGTCAGTTTGAGTGAAAAAGTAATTCAGTCCTTTTTTGACCGTATGACGAGGTCATACAATATGTTATTCATTTTTCACATATGTTTTCCCCATTTTCCATGTGATAAAAGAAACATTCTCGTCGTAAAACCCAAAAGGCTCAGAACTTTCAGACGGTATTATGAGGCCACTCACCCAAACTACCGTATTTTCATTCATTTTATGCTACCCGAGCAAAAATGTTTTTCGTAAGTAAAAATTGTTTTCCATTAGCTGTAGAATAGAACAAAGTTGACTGTGTTTGGATGACGAGATTATTTGCTCCACGATTTGAACCTGCGCACGAAAGTGCCTGGTCAAGGGTTGTAAAAACTGAGCTTTCATTTCTGTACTGATTTTCACGGAGACGTGGGAGTTCCTTGCTGTTCTTCAGTTACAGACACATCGGTTTTGGATTTTCTCTCAGTTAAAACTGTTTCACTCTTCTGGTTTATATTCATCGCCTCAACCTAAGACGTACGACGGAGAATGGTTTCGAACGATCAGCGTGTAGTCGTAATAATGCCATAGGCTCGTAATCGAACGCCGTATACTCTTGAAGTGATATAGACTACTGTGGTGTCTGCAAGCAGACCAAAATTATCACGTTTTTATGGCATCATAACTGAACAAATGACCTCTATTGTGGTATCCTTTGTGTAATCCCATTTAGCCGATTCATTACTCGAAAAATGTCCTTATTCTTTTTAGACGTGAAGGGACAAGAAGTCATCCAAGCCGCCAACAACCCACCAACCGGGCACCCAGCTGGAAGTGGACAGTTACTGCAGCACTGGTTGTATTTACAAACCAGTCAGTCAGTGTGTTCCGATGAGGGGCCCACATCCGCACCCACAAAAACAAGTCAAAGCCGCAAGCAGCACAGTCATCATCATGGCCATCACAACCAACACAACAGTCACAGACGCTCCAGTACACATCGTCGATATTCCAGCAAACACGTCGGTATTAGTCCGACCGGTCGCGATGCGACAAATTCAACATCGAAAAACCCGGGCTCACGACAATCCGAGCCGCTTCCTTGCTCGCGGACCAATTGGTAAGTACTGAGTCTCATTTCGACTGTGTCTCAATAAAAGGAAGAGAGGTGGAGATCGGTTCACTGCACTCTAGCTTTTGATGCAAATTATCTCTCGAAATCCTCGCTTTATTCAATTGGTCTGAACAGCTTTCTACAGAACAAGATGTGATAAGGCTTATCATGTGCTTTGCAGGAAGATTGCAACTGGGGATTTCATGTCGTTTTACTTATTCCTCTTTTCTCAACTGCAGAACGAAGTAACGTCGAGTATGTCTCATCATGTCTAACTGCAGTGATTATCATAAATGGTGGCGACTCGATACCACATCAATCATTGTCTGGTTCACCATTTCATGTTCGAGCACTTGGGTTACCAGTTATGATGAGTGAACATTAGGTGCTCGCGATCATGAGCTCTAATCCCCCACCCCGCCTCCCATATTTTTCCGCACCCAAGAGTGTGCCAGGAAAGATCTCCAACTGGAATGCCCATAACAATCTCGAAAAAATGAATATACAACTGCTGCAGACTTTTCAGTGTCCTTGGTAATGGTAACCAAGCCCAATTACCTTCAATCGGTATCTCGTGAATATCATTTTCGTGCAATATGCCAAGCGTCATCAAACGGCATTTTTGTATGGTAACTAACCTCTGTGAAAGGTTAGATACAGTGGGCATGTGATCATACCACTACAACCTGACCTAACAACCTAGAAGCCTTGAAATATCATCTGGCATAGTGGTCATTGTGATAATAAAACTCCATAAGGCTTCTGTTTCGGGGAACGAAAAGCGTTGCTCAAATGGTTTTTTATTACGCACCTCATTACGGTGAACAGTAAATGTTGTGAGGGACCCATCGTTTGTTTATGGGAACTATCAGCTTCAGACTTGATGAATCGGAATTTAGTGAGTCCTCATTCCATGTTATAGGCGTGGTATTAAGTTCTGTGATGATCAAGCTGTCTACTACCAGCACAGGAAGAGGATGTCGAGGTTTGAGCGCCGTTATTTGTAAACCGATTCACTACTGTTGCCATCCTCACCAAATTTGAATCAAATTCCGGCGATATGTTTTTTTCACATATACTGAACGCGATGCCAATCGATAGTGACCTTAATGCAATCGTAGGGATAGGAATCAGATCCGTACTGAGTAACTGACTGGCGAAGAAACCCTGGTAAACAATATTCAGTACCGTGTCACAAAAATAGCGAATCACATCGTACAGATACTTGCTGGTACTGTTCTAAATGTGAATCCCTAGTATAGTTCCTTCGCACATGGAGCTGATCTCAGCTGTACTCCCCACATTTTCACTTTGCAACGCACTTTGTTAGCTATTTCAGCTCATTCAATTACATTCACTTGGAAGTGCAAGCAACCCCCCCTTCAAGTTAATTATTTAATTACTTGGTCTGAAACGCATCCACACATTTATTCCATGATCAGAGCCTCAGATTTGTAGAATCGATGTGAACGTCGTCGCTTTCAGTTTACTCTGTTAACAGACAGGTCAGGTCCTATCTATATAGCTCAGACTAAATGGGACGAGGTTAGTCTCAGCAGAGTGAGATTGCCAGTTTTGTTCCTTCGCGTTATTCATGATTGTCTCTTGAACATACCAAATAGCTAGTGTATCCTGTACTACGTAGACTAAACCGGCTGTTGTGGAAACGTGACTTTTTCACCTTATCTGAGTTAAGGATGATGTCACTATTGGCGATTTGCCATCATCGATCACGTGGTCGATTGACCAGTTTAATAATTAAACGACAGTTATCATGGTGATCGGAATAAGTATTTTATGGTCTAATAAACTCCAACAGCTATGAAATTCCTTGGCGATAATCGGATTCACAAAGCAAAGCGATTGGTTAGAGTCTGGCTGTAATAATATCTCGCTCCAATCCAACCACAGACATTGCTGAATTCTCAATTTTCTGCGGGATTATTCATCTTTCTGTCCCTGTTCCCTCTCTAACAGTGCACTGGACTCAGTCGATTCAACACCTGGAACGCAGGGCAGTGTGGGATTAATCGTGGGCTACTATCTTTGTGATGATCCGGTACCCTATCGAACCGTGTGGCCCGGAACACAAAGTACCGGTGAAGTGGACACACAATCAGGATCAACTGTGCTTACACATGGTTCGCTCACTTTGGGTCAGTTCAAGCAGCTTATCGCCAAGAAGGGCTCATATCGGTGAGTGTGTGGCAATCGTCTCTTTGAGTATTCACGCCTGCGTGCGTGTGCCTGGTAAATTCATCCTCGCCTTTATTATGCCTATCAACTTTGTCCTATCAGTTTCAGTTTTTCACAACCGCATTTTCATGCGCCAGTTTTGGTTGCTGTCTTTTGGCTACCCATTTGGATGAACAGTAGGAGAAAGACCGGAGAGTACAAAGTAGAGTCGAAGAGAAAGTGGAGAATTTCAGTGGACTAAGGCTGCAAAGAAATTGAGATGCTGCAAGAACACCATTGTTTCCCACGATCAGCCATATCACTCAGTGTCTAACCACCGGTTACCATCATCCCGATGTCCCTAGCCAGAGAGCCTAAGGGGACCTTTGTGACCGAGTTTCCTGGTTAGTATTTTCATACCCTCGTGCCCGGTCTTATTCTGACTGCTCTTGTCTTTTCTCCACCCAACATCTGTCTCGACAAACATCGCTTGCTGTGGCAACCTATCTGGTGACATGCGTAACACATGCCCCAACTAGTGTAATCTATGGAGGTCGATCACTTTCTCCAGTGGACGATCGCGAATACCTTAAACTCTGCGCCTAACCTCAGCATTGATCGTCCGGTTGCCACACCAGATTCGTGCAATGCTGCGGTGTTCAAGTACCGACAGTCTATCTTTATCCTATTTTCTCAACGGCCAAGTTTCTGCGCCGTTTAACAGAACCGGCCGAATTGCCGCGGCGTGTACTCGACCCTTCACGGAAAACCAAATGTCACAGATATCTCAAGTTGTCAAATGCCAACCGAGCCTTCTGTATGCGAGCTGACACTTCATTCGCAATGCGTCCACCGGGTGAAATGTAGCTGCCCAAGTAACAAAACTCATCCACCAACTCTCATTTAGAGTGAGACTGGGTGCTGGACCAACCCATCCTTTAGCACCATTTTACACTTTGAAGGTGCGAAACGCATATCGAACATGGCTACACTTAGCACCCAAGCTGTCCAGAAAAGCTTGCGACTTACCTGGATCTTCACTTAGCAGCACAATGTTGTCTGCATACCCCGAGTTAGACAGTCTACCACCTGGGAACAAATCGATGCCTCTTCCCCATATGCAAACTGATGATATCTTATTCTGGATCAACTGATCCCGGGATTGAAGTGTGTCCTCAACCCTGTCATGGTGGAATGACCTGACTTGTCACTATGCATGTTTGATAAGCTTGTGCGTGTCCTGTATCTGACCCATTTCATACGCTCTACTTAATCTGATGATGTGGACGCATAAAGCGTTTCTTGCCTGGACTTGATCATGTATCACAGTTGTCCATGTTTAGAATTCGCCCCCGTATCTTTTTTCATGTGTTCTTGAGGCGAACAGGCTCTACAGCCTGCTGGGCTTGTTCAACCGTAGCACACCACAGCCATGTTCATCCCCATAAGTCAGTGATTCATGTGGTACGGACAAGGCACTGTTTGACCTTGCCCTGGCATAAAATCCACGCGCGGGTGTCCCTCTAGTAACCGCATCGAGTGAGTTTATCAAAAATTTACTTATCCAAGGTAATGTACGTAGATGAAATAGGAAATCAGAATTCGGGGATCTGGGGTCCGGATCCCAGTGCTGTGCGCCAAAGTTTTCTTCGGGGGCTTAGTTTAGGTCCTCGATTTAAATAAACCACAGTTGTGTTATTTACGGTATCGCCTAATGGTTACGAATTCAATTTTTGTCTGGAATTCAGTAGTCCGGTAACCAGAGACTATATAGTTCTCGTTGATTAAAGGTGCAGATTAGCACTGATCACGCGCTGAATCTACGCTACCTGTTGGCAGTTACTGTGACTGCATAAGTCGGTGGCTGTTCGCAATCGAATGCTTTGACCTATTTGTATTTACCGTCACACGAAAGTACACTGTTATTGGTTGTTGAAACTGATACCTGTGTGTATTGATCAGAAAATCAATGACTTCAAGGACCCAAACGGAGTGTAAGTGTTAGATGACGGCTTTGATTGATGAACTTCGAACCTCTGCTCTGTAGGTCGATGTTATTGTGACCTATACCGATCGGCCGCCACCGATCAACCTCACCAAGTGAAAGGTGACTATTCGGGTTTTGTTTCTTCTTTAGTATACTAGTTGGGATGTGCAGTGAAAAGAAAAATGATTATCTTATACCGTATTTCAGTGGTACAACTACAACGTTGTAGCCATCTCAAAATAATGATGGTCTGGAGTATCATGCCTACGTTCTTCAGGACACAGGCTGTCATCAACAAATGCTCTTGACACCAAAAACTACGCTTTCTTGAATGTTTTCCTACCTACCTCTGGTTTTATATGCTTCACCCGGATTTCGAATCATCATCGCTCGCGGGTGGCCTGTTTTACCAGGGCGGAGCCGCTCGTAAAAGTCACTCAAATCGTCTGTTTTATGACCCACCTAGATTACCAGCTGGCTCTCGTCCTGCCGTTTCGTAGAATCACTTACTGTCCGGAAAAAGGATTCAAGTACCAAAGGCCCACAACCCATTGCAACCGTGTATGATTTGGTACTGATCCTTAAAAAGTCGGAGGCGGGAAGATAGTAAAAACATCCCTAAGTTTCGGGTTTCGAAAAATATGCTTTTTCAGGGAGCGTGTGTGAGGTGACTCGTGTTGGTGTAAATCGGTTTGCTTTACAACCCCCAAGAGCGTTTATTCTTCACTGTCAGCTTCCCTTCTGAATCAGCCATTGTTGGCAAATGTTCTTCAGGTAGCTAGTATTGCCCTCTCTTCGATCAACGGGACATTGTGTCGTTCGCTCATTAATTATTTCAATTCAGTGCTTTTCGTTCCCTTACCTTATCCTGATACAACAACCCACAGGTGTCATCTCCTGGTCAGATCCCGGAGTTTTCCTCAGACAAAGGGTAACTGAGTCCCTCTTTACAACCACAGCGCATTTGAAATCGATCGATTTGTCAGATGCTATACCTGAGTTTAATTAATTGATGTTGTTGTTGTCTTCGACCTGATTCGTAATTTCTTTGTTTTCACACTTCCAAGTGGGCAAGTTTATTATCACCAACTCATTTTCGGGTTTATGGTTTCTCTATTCCCACCTCTTCTAGTGGATCTTTCCTCGACCTCGCTAACCTTTTCTATTGCATTTCTTTCAGTTACTTTTTCAAGAAACCAAGTGACGAGTTTGGCACAGGAGTGGTACACGAAGAATTGACACATGACGATGCAATCATACCGCTCTGGGATGGAAAAGTTGTCGCGCGAATCGAGCGAGCCGAATAGCACGTTTGAACTTCTCACCCCGATGCTTGTCTACTGCCGGCCGTCTTTCATCCCCCTCCCTCTCTCTGTCTTCTGCTGACCAAAGCACTGTCTTTTTTCTAACGTTTGCATTGCCGTCATCAAAATGTTCCATCGGAGCAGACGATTGTTCAAAAAGTATGCACAATTGACATTTCGATCCCTTGTACATAGGCATTCCCAACTCATTCTGTAAACGACCCTTTGCTACCCTGTTTCGGCTCTTTCTGAATTACTCTTGTGCTTGTCCTGTTCTCTATACACCGAACAGATAGAAAAATCCAAGTATCTGATTGATAGACCGGTTTGTTCTTACTGCCTTCCGTCGCTCACTTAAATACTTCACACCAGTTGTGTTCGGTCTCTTACTAAGGCCGTAATATTGTTAATGAATGGGCCGTTGCGAGCGTTTCATTGTTGTACCCACCGTAGTATGAACTCAAATGGGTCTACGTTTCATTTTCTGCCCCTCTACGCATCACTTTCACACACGTGGTGAAGCCCTCTTTTGTTAATTATCCCCAGTCCCGTTGAAATGAGCTCCACAGTATCGATGATCGATCTCTTGTTAGTCTGACCCATTTTGTATAATATCAGATGCATCTGAATTTTCCTGCTCGGTTGTTCTCTACCTTCTCAAACTCGTTACCGCCTCTCGGTCGAGTTGATTGTGTGCATCTGTTCTTTCTGCCCTCTCTCGATATACACAAACNCACAAACTCATTAACCTTGCTTTTTTCACTCCCCTGTCCATTCACTCGGCTTTCTAGTACACCACAGTCTCCCTTTTTTACCCTGTAACTGCTGAGACGCAACTGTCCATGCTAGTTGGACTGCCTCCCACTAATCCTTTATCAGGAATATACATATATGGCTCTACTTCAATATATATATATTCATGTATGTCTGTATGAATAAAAGTTCAAGTCACGCATCAGTTGTATGAATATTGTGTTCTGTATTGTCGAGCACACTGAAAAAAACACAGACAGTACAATGCAATGCAGTGCGACAGTCAGGTCAGAATAGTGAACAACAACAGTATTCCAATAGATAGAGCCGGGGGCGGGAGGGTGGAGGCTGGGTCAGAAAACAAGTCTGTAGAGGGATCATTTGGTGGAGAACGAGACCGTCTGAGGTGATATAGGTGCAACGCTCTGGTTCACATTCAATTGCTCAAAGTTGTTTCTGAAGCTGACTAGTCCTGTTGAGATAGCCCCGGCATATATGTTCGTGTGCATGAGGTTCGTGTTATGTGTGACAAAGGGGGAGGAAGGATAGGTTTTGGGATTCAATAGTCCAGGGATGGAGCTTGTCGTTCATCTATTTGAAACGGCTGCATTCAATACGTTCTTCTGTAAAATGGAGATTCCAACAAAAGACAGGAGAGAGAGAAGTAGGTTAGAATCACTGAACTAGAAACACAGGCTAAATCGGACTAGGTGACATCATTGACATATGCTATGCACAGCAAAAGTAGGTTTGTGTCCTTACGAATCCACCGCTTACCTTCATTCTATTTTAACGGAACCAGATCACAATGATACACGTGAACTTGTTTCCTCTCTGGATGAGCTGTCAACCGAGCGTTTTTGAACAATGTTCTGATCTGTTTAGAAATTGCGTTTTTCTACTGACAAATCAACATTGCAATGTCCTTTTTTCCTATCCGAAAATAGATTAATCTCAGCGAGAGATATCAAATGGACAAGTAGGCCAAATCCACCCTCATTTAAGAATGTCTACCGTGCATTTTTCAACTACGTTTACCGATAATAAACGGACGATGAATGGAAGCAGCGAGAGATGCAAGGTTATTTTGAGATGATGGAAGATTGGACTAAAGTTGAATGGTCATGACTGAAAAGATTGTTATTGGACTGGAGCTTGAGTTCCTACTAGGCCCCCTCGCTGCTGATTGTCTTTCAGAAAAACGTATCGTTGGACATTGTAATGTCCGTATAGGAGGACCAATAAATTACGCCATCGGCGCTGACAGCAACGCGTATGAAGTACAACGCTCAAGCTAGAAAATTTGGAATGAAGAAATAACCGGTCGACTTTGTATTTCAAGCGCGTCTGTTCTTGTTTTTATTCGTACGAAGTCCATTGGTTGTCAAGCTATGTAAATCCCAGACCCAAAGGTTCGAATCCTACATTCACCATCTAACTTTATTATTTGATAGCTTCACTGTCTTCCAGGTCCATGACACTCCTATTTAAATGGGACTTAAGCAACTTACTACTGTTAACTGAACGGTAATTCCTCGTAACTATTTAGTTTACTCCTACCACTGTGCATGATAATTAAAAATAACCAAATTCGCACTGGATGCGGTACTCCCAAGTTAGTGCTCAGAGAAGTGGTTGCTGTGATTTGAACTCTGCTGTACCCCGCGGTCTATATCAAAAGAATTCACGAGGTCTTTTATATAAACGCACTGAACCCACACACAGCTGTTCGAGCCGATCNGAGCCGATCTTCAACATATGGTTACTAAATGTGATAACGTTCACTCGGTACCGTATTTCTCTCTCTCTTCTGGGATACACAGTTTCTCAGCAGAGTGCAAATCAGATGGATCAGGAGAAGTTTACCTACTGAGCATAGTTTTTCAGAAGCTTACACGTTTTCCGCAAGGAGGCGAAACAATGATACACTAGCTTGGGGTGTGTGGGTGGGTGAATAGTGCAATGTTCTGTTGATATTATGCATGTCCGTGGTGTAGGGATTCGCGCTGGTTTGAGGGAACAAGAAGTTATACAAACTGTGGCGTATACCATTTGGGTAGATATGATGGACAAAATGAAGAATTGGAGCCATGTGACCTTTTACACATACAGTCTTACGCGATACATCGTTTTAGTGGGGAGAGTTCACCTAACCGCGAGTCTCGTAAAACAGGAAGTGGAAAAAACATTTTACCGAGTCGTGCATCCGGACTGGTGGATCTATATCCCCTATCTTGCATTAAAAATGAACAGTTTTCCTCTGGGTTCATGTTCACCAGGTTTTCAAGAATATAGTTTAACGCGAAACAGTGATCCATTCCAACCTCACACGTGTCGCTCGTATACTTGAGAGCAACCTCAATAGGACAGTTCTTTTTAAAAATTACGGATTTATAATCCCGAAAACCATTTTTTAGACAAGCTCTGTAATGGCGGATTTGTCGCCAGTGAAAAGGTAATAAAATAAGTAAATAACCTTCGTATCACCACTTCGTTCTGCAGGATGACGACGGACTTAAAAGGTTAATGCACATCTTAGCTCAGCCTAAGAGGGTAAATTTCAATAACCATGGTACCGCAGCACGGATACTCTCTGATTGCCGCCTAACTGATGCTGAGTACGATCGACTCCTGAGGTTAACAAGCCCATTTGCTTCTCGTGCACACAAGCATATTGTCCTCATGTTAGTTTCATGTACGCTGCGCGGTGATCGCGAAAATTCGTATAATTTTCTTGAACTTGGAAAACGTTGGTCCTTCTAATCGCGAGCAGAATACCTCTTGCCTTTCGGGTGGTTCCAAAGAATCTCATTGAGGCTGACTTCTTGTGAAACAGTATACTGTGGGTCAGCAACAGAATATGAACCCCCTCTTCAAAAGGACCATTACACACGCAAATTCATCCAACCGCCTGAACTTGTGCTCAACATTGCCATAGTATGAGGAGCAATCAAACGACCTGGCTTTTATGAGCAATAATCAGTCGACCTTCATTTATGTTCGGTGCATATCACCGTCCATCTGGTGATGGTTGGCCTTGTGTGAAAATAAAACGGAGTGTTACATTGAGGGCTACCAAGTGGTTCACTAAGTCGGAGATTTCAGCTTTGTTTCATTTGCACTTTTATCCAACGAAATTGTGAAGAGTTCAGTGGCCTCGGTGGGATTCGAACCCACGCAAGGACGCCACCTACGCCTTTGTACAACGCACGCTCTACCAGCTGAGCTACGAGGCCACACCAATAGCACTGATCTTTTCACATTCGAATCTACTTATCCTACTGAACTTTTCACAATTTCAACATAAGACTTAAATCTGCCAAACAAGCATTTGAACTAGGTGACTGTGATCATAGGTCCGGTCACACACACGCACCCTCATGAATCGTCTGAGGAAAGTGGACCGCTTCACTTTTATTTTTCGTTGCTCGTGGAAGATAAAGCCAAATCATCAGTCTATGCAGCAAGCCCTAAGCGGTTGATCACAAAGCGCATTTGTTCTGACCGAACACCCTTGATCTGTGGTGAGGAAACAATCCAGGAATTCAAACGTCTCAATTCGCGAAAGCGAAAATCGGCCACTCCAACTGTGGAAAATGCACAAAGCATTTTCTCCGAACCCGAGGAGTTGAGAAGTACTGTGTAAATGCTTGTGTCTTCAAACCCACACAACGCGTGCTGTCTCGTGTTTCCTTCCTCCCATGCGATTTTTTTTGCATTGGGAAGCCATGAAGGTATCTGGTGTAGCTAACCGGGTGGGATTTGTAGAAGGGGCAAAGCGCAACTGGCTAAGACAAATGGTGTTGACTCACGATGTACTCTGGCCTGATGAGGCCGTTTTCTACCGTCATGGGAGTAGTAACAGAAATAAAATCAATTTTACTGATCACAAAGGAACCCACGTGTTATAGGGGAAGCATACGTGATGGTCTGTATTTATTTTATGGCACCACAGATAGCGTAAATTCTGCACCCGCTTTACACTCAGTATATTCGTTCACTGGATCCAGAGGAGGCGTTCCAGCAGGGCGGTTTAGCTGCTCATTGTTCGAAGACTGTGAGAACATGGCACAACAAACACATTTTCACGAAAATAGATTGGCAGAGGAGTACCTGCGCTGCCCAGATCTTCAAATTTCACCCCATTCGATATTTTCTTGTGGAGCCGACTGAAACTTTGTTGTCATTTCACAGCCGCATTCCTTAAATACACTGAAAAAAAAATATTTCACCCCATCCCCTTGAATAAA